GCAGCGAAGAGGGTGTTGCGCTACTTGTGCAGTACGTCGGGCATGGGGCTCGTGCTTGGAGGGCGGAGCTCAGTGGTCCTCACTGGTCACGCAGACGCGTCTTGGGTTGACGACCTGGCTACGCAGCGGTCGTCACAGGGTTACACCTTCAGCCTTGGTTCCGGCTCTGTTTCATGGCGATCTACCCGCTCGTCTTCTGTTCTCAGCTCCAGCTGTGAGGCTGAGATCTACGCAGGGGCCATGGCTGCACAGGAGTTACGCTGGCTCACTTACCTGCTGACGGACCTGGGAGAGCCGCCTCGTTCTCCTCCAGTTCTGTACGTAGACAACAAGGCCATGCTGGCCTTGTGTCGGGAGCACAGACTGGAGCACAGAACGAAGCACATTGCTCTTCGCTACTTCCTTGCTCGTGAGCTGCAGCAGCGTGTCAGCTGCGTCTTGCTTACGTGGCCTCTCGGGCCAACACTACTGATATCTTTACCAAGGCACTTCAGCCTTGTGATCATCAGCGCTTTTGTACGATGCTAGGTCTTGTGCCTACTTGGCCTCACTTGCTCACTTCTTGACTTTGCTTGTACTGTGATACATATATTCTTGCACTTGCATGCTTACTCTTCCTAGGTTGAGATCACTGCCTTGCTTGTTCACCTTGATATATAACTCTGCATGTGAACTGGCCTTGTGGCCTTGTGCTTGTGCTCAGATTGTGTGGTGACGTTGTGATCCACCTTGAGCTTGCCTTGCTTCGCTTGACTGGTCTTGTGACCTCTTGTTCTCCCCCACTTTGCCTATGGGGGTGTGTCAAACATATATGACATAGTCTGTGTAGGCTGTAGTGGGGTAGCCTATATGGGGTACAATACTGGTAGGCTTTCTTACTTGTACACATCTCCTTGCTAGTTCAGTCATTCCTCTTTCTTCACAGGTCTAGATGGCTGCCGGCCTACCACAACTTCGGTAATGAATGCAGAAGTCGGCTATCTGAAGGTTCTAAAGCGGGGCCTTCCACGCTCACCGCACCATGCGGAGAATCACTACAGAACGGGAGTGGATTACGGAGGAGGGCACGGGGTTGTGCGAATGATCGTAGCGCTCTAGTAGCGTTCTTACTTCTTGCTTCTAGAAGGTTGGCAAGAATTTCCACTAAGGAAGTTGAAGGAACAGTTTGCATTGAAAAAGTTGATAGTACAAATGAGGCATACATAAGGATATGACTAGAATGGCATGCAACACCTAGCAAGGGCGAAATCTGCCAGCGCAGCAGAAGAGCGGCTTGCCAGAGTGGTTTGCCAGCGTTGCACTGTGCGTGGTCTTCCAGCACTGCAGTCGCAGGTGACTACCTGCAATAGCATGTTGTCTATCTGCGCTGATGTGCGCACCTACCAAGCAGGTGTAGGTTGGCGGTTTCACCGTGAGGCATATTGCGCAGGTGCCAGGTAGAAAACGTGTCGTCGGTTTCACCAGGTGCGCACCGTCGACCATGTGTTACCGTTCCGCAGGTCGAACTTCGCCGAAACCTTCTGGGCGAAAGTTCGCACGCCTCCGCTTAGTTTCGCACCTCTTGTCAGATTATAATGCTTGTCTAGCCTGCAGTGGGGTACTCTGTAGTGAGTACGGCCCCTTAGATTTTCCTATTTGTATCCTCCTGCTTGCTAGTGAACATTCTCCTTTGCTCATTTCTCTCTTGCCTAGCTAGGTAAACCCTAGCTATGGCTCCTCATCGTGCCTACGATTCTGACATGGTTTCAGAGCATTTACGCTCCTGGCCTGTGGGCCCACCAACTGCTTCCGCTGTCGTTCTGTTTGTCGCGCGCCCCGTGGTGCGCGACGTGTTCTTTTCTTTCCGCCACGCGCTCGGAGCGCGTGGCGGCTTTTTCTACCCGCCGCGCGCTCGGGGCGCGTGGCGGTTTAACCGTCCGTCGAGGCGCCTTCAGAGGGCCCGTGCGCTGCCCCCCGTCGCCCGTCGCGGCGTCTTCAGGGGGCCCGCCCGCTGCCCCCTCCCGTCACTCGTCGCGGCGCCCCGGAGGCCAGCGCGCCACCCCCTCCCGTCACCCGTCGTGGCGCTCTCGTGGGGGCCCGCGCGCGGCCCCCCTCCCGTCGCCCGTCGTGGCGCCTCGGGGGCCGCGCGCGGGCCCCCACGAGAGCGCCACGACGGGTGACGGGAGGGGGTTGCGCGCTGGCCTCCGGGGCGCCGCGACGGGTGATGGGAGGGGGTGGCGCGCTGGCCTCCGGGGCGCCGCGACGCGGCGCCTTGGGGGCCCGCGCGTCCCCCCCCTCCCGTCGCCTCGTCGCGGCACCTTGGGGGCCCGCGTCGCCCCCTCCCTTCGCCTCGTCGCGGCGCCTTGGGGGCCCGCACGCCGCCCCCTCCCGTCGCCTCGTCGCGGCGCCTTGGGGGCCCGCGCGCGGCCCCTCCCGTCGCCCGTCGAGCCGCCCTCGGGGGCCCGTGCGCGGCCCCCCCTCCCGTCACCAGCCGTGGCGCCCTCGGGGGGCCCGCGCCCTGCTCCTTCGTGGCGCCCAGGAGACCCCCCCGCCTCCTCCCTTTCCCTCCGTGAACCGCCCCTGCTGCTTCCCGCGCTCTACCTGCGTTAGGGTTTGGGGGTGGCGGGCATGGGGATGAACGGTGTGGGTAACTTGCAGCTCCTCCTCCTCCTCCGTCTCCCACTGCTGCAGCTGCCGCTGAGGGGGGTGGGTGTGTGGGAGCCGAGGGTTTAGGGTTTAAGGGGGGTGCCGTGGGAGTGGAGCTAGGGTTTCAGCAGGGGGTGTGTGAGAGGGGTGTGGGACGGTCGGGGGAGGTTGAGTGGAGGCTGCCGTCTTGTCGTCCGCAGCACCTGTAGTCCGGGGCGCTGTCCTGGTAGCCCAGAGAGCCTGCTGCGCCTGTCGCCCGTGGGTACGTTGCTCCTGCCGCTCTTCGTAGCCGCCGAGCCAGTTACTCCAGTAGTCCGGGGCGCTGTCCCGGTAGCCACTGTGCCAGCCGCTCCTGTTGCCCGTGTGTCTGCAGCTTCAACCGTCGCCTCCTATCTTCTCTCCTCTTACAGTCCCGCCTCCTCCTCCTCACTTGCCCTTTGTGAATGCCTCTAGCTTTGCTTGTCCTTGTGAACCTGCTCTATGACTGCTTGCTGTGCTGATTGTACCCCACTTTGACTATGGGGGTGTGTCAGATTATAATGCTTGTCTAGCCTGCAGTGGGGTACTCTGTAGTGAGTACGGCCCCTTAGGGTTTCCTATTTGTATCCTCCTGCTTGCTAGTGAACATTCTCCTTTGCTCATTTCTCTCTTGCCTAGCTAGGTAAACCCTAGCTATGGCTCCTCATCGTGCCTACGATTCTGACACCTCTGCAGTTTCGGTCGATCAGCTCGACATCGCTCGGTTGAACAGCGTTCGCCGAGCAAAGCTCATCGACCCGAACTCTTCGACCAGAGTTCTTCGACCAGCGCTCTTCGACGGGAGCTCGTCGCGCAGAGCTTGTCGACCAGATTCTGTCGAGCAGAGCCTACTAGACCGCAACTTCCGTCGAACTGCAGAAGCCCATTTTGTCGACCAATCCGTCGGGAACTTCTCGTCGACGGCAAGATCGGCTGCGCGCAAGCGAGGGCAGGGCCTTTCTCTTCGATAATGGCATGCCAATTGCAGCGCTGGACAAGACGATCCACGCATCACGGCAGAATTCCGTGTTGTCGCGATAACAACCACACTTAGCAGGTTTGTCTAAACTGTATTAGCAGCTTCAACATGTGTGCTGACAGGAATCTTGCCAAATAGACCAATAGGAGCAAAATTTGTATCGCCGACAGATTTGGCAGTTTCCCACCCACCACAGGGCAGTTGCAACAAAAATATGGTGTGGCACTGCGTCACATGTGCAATAAATGTGAAGAACAGTAGAATCCCCGCTTTCGATGATTCGGTATCATGGTAAGAATGTAGGAACACTGATGTAGTCGGGGGAACGAAATGCTAACTCGGATTTCATAAGGGTAATAAAAATCAGACACTTTTTTATTCAGTGTTTAAAGTCTAAAAGGCTGACCGGGTCAGGGTAAAAAAAAAAAAATCGGCCGCCAATCAAGGCGATCAGGGTATTTTACCCTGACATTTTGGGGCCTGTTGTGCAAGCTCGTACACGAATGTTTCTTATTTTTTCGTTATCGTAACAGCTTGAATTTGAAAGAAAAGAACCGTTTCAGTGAAAATTGTACCAAAATGAGGTCCGAATTCAAAATTTGAAAAACATACCAAATGGAAATTCAGAATTTGAAAAACATACCAATTTTGAACATATGGTTATTCATGTTTCCATATTCATGAATAACCATATGTTCAGCTCTTATGGCTCTGCTTTTATTTGTGCTGTTTGGAAAAAAATATGGTACCATAGCATTATTATATTGAGAAATACTTGCTGATGTTAGTATCTCTTTTCAAGACTTTATTGTCCATCGAAGCGGCTTAAAAGGAATCTATCCGTTCCATCTGGTTTTCGCTGTAGCGCCCCTGTCGCGAGATTGGTTTCACTCCAGGACGTCGAGCTTGATTGGCCACGACGAGCCGCAATGTTACGGGGTACAATCGGAGCGACACAAATTCCGCGCGAGTCGTCAATTCCATTTTCTCCCTTATGCTCTCAAATTCCCAATCCCCTCTCTTTAGGGAGGGAGGATGCTACCCGCCAGCTGGCTCTGGTTCCTTGTGCGCCTGACCCGTTGAGTGCGTCAGCCGAAATTGCTTGCAATCACACCACTCGTTCACACAAACCGTACTACTTGGGTACAAAGTCGCACAGCCCTGCTTTATGACATGGTTCTTTCAGACTGGGTGTGGGTCATCTGAGTATAGTGGACGCCTTCGCTTAGTAGCTAACTGCAGCAGCCGTCCAAGGCACCAGTCGTAGGTGTCGAGGTTTCACAAGAAAGGCACTTCACGACCCCGACTCCCGTTCCGCGCTAAGCTGGCATTCTGAAGGTCGATTGGGGAGCGAATGAGATCCACGCAATCTCGCAGCATGTCGGCTGCAGCTCGACTTGTCCGACTCGTGGCTCTCTCGCTGTGCCTCCTTCCCATTGTCACCACCGCGCAAGGTACATACTGGAAACGTGCCTTTAAATTCTCTCTCTATCCTAGCATGCGTAACTTACCTCGCAAGTAGGAGCGGCAGCTAAGCCTCACACGTGCTCTCTCTCTATCTCTCCCTCCCTTGACCCCCACGTGCATCGCCCCGTCCTTATCAGAGCGTTCGCTGCGGGGAGCATCGTCGTCGTCGGGGCGAGGTGGACTACCAGACGGTTCCGCATGTCGCCTGGACTCCAACCTCAAGCCCGCGGGGGAGCCGTGCGCCGCCTCGCCCTTCGTGTGCGTGAAGCCCACGCTCCCTCTCACTTTCTCTCTCTCGTCTCACGCTCCGCACGTCTCCAGCTTCCCCGAAGCATAGTCGCATTTCCCGTGCCCTCCCCACGCTAATCGTACGCCTTTGCCGTGCGCGCAACGCCATGTCCGTGGTGCACGGTCCACGTCTCGCCGCTCAATCCTCGCACCTTGTGCGCTGTGTGTCGTGGTGTTGGTGTGCGCGCAGGTGCGTGGTGACGAGAGTGCCTACGGCCAAGGACCCCTTCTACAAGGGCATCTGCAACTCCTCCTATGCTGGTAGCCCCTCTACCCTCTCCGCGGCTCTCTTTCCCTCGTATAGCTAACTGTCATACCTGCCTCGCATCATCGTTACCGTCCCTTTCCACACCCTCTTGATTCCACTGACTAATCGGCCAGAGTTTCGCTCCGTCCGCCGTCCCACATCTTCCCCTATTCCCGCTGCCCAGATTCCCCGCATTGCACGTTTTTCAGCCAGCCATACGCGGTAGGCACCACCGGCGTGAGCAGCAACCCCGCGTGCCACCGCTGCGACTGCAACAACCACCCCGAGAACGCCGAAGCCACAGCGCGTGGGCGACACGGGCATCCTGTCCGTGTCCGCGCAGTCGTCCCTGCGCTCCATCCTCGCATCGCTCGGCGCCAACACGGCTCGCTGCGACTGCCAGGTCATCGGGCCGTGCTACGTGGACTGGAAAGGCAAGCAAGTGAATGGCCCGGACGGGGTGATGTGCCCGGAACGACAGAGCCGCTGCGTGATCCAGGAGGTGGGCGGAGGCGGCGCGGACAAACAGGGCCGACCCATAGACGCGGGGACATGCGAGTCGGCGGGCGAGCTGAACACGTGCATGGTGGCGGGGAATGGGTGGGGACCCAAGTACTATGCGCGGGGGGTGCAGGGACTACCGGATGCTCTGGACGAGTGCAGGCGGTGCCGGTGCAGCGATGGGAACCAGGTGTTCGGGTGCGTCAAAGTGCCCAAGTGCAAGTCAGGCGGTGGAGGCGGGTGGGACGATGATGCTGCTGCTGCTGCGGATGCTGCAGGGGCAGCGGCCGTTGGCGATGTGTATGTGGAGGGGCTCAAGGCATGATAAGAGCACATATGAAGCCATGGAACTGGTGTTTCACCTCATGCAGTCATCCTGCATCGGCAAGGAGATTTCACAGACTAAGCAGCCGCTTAGTGTGAGAAGCTCATGAGTACTCGTGCACCAGCGTGCACGTGCAGGTACATACGGTAGATGCTTACCACTTCGTGGTCACGTTACGAAAATTCCTGCCACTCTAATTTCTATAATTTAGTGCCTAGCCGATTATATATCCACTCACAACGGGCGTTGATATCCGTCTGATATTGCTTGTAGCTGCCCGTATTCCCTCTCAATGGGCGGATAAGGTTCGCTCGAGCTGTCCCTGCAGTTTGCCCGTGAGAGATGTTTCGGAATAGGATTAGAAACATATTATGATCGCAACCACTGAATAACTCAGAATACGGCTAACAGTTTGTCTTAGGTGTTGAACACCGTTACGAGTGCAATTGAGCGAGCTACCTAGAATTGCACTATTGAAGTAAAATAGTACAATGAGCGAAGGATTGAGCGAGAACTAAATACCGAAGGCCACCGTGGTAACGGTAATTAACTGTGGTTGACGCGCGACGGGCCTGGAACTGAGGTTGGGACTGAGGTTAGGAAATGTCGAGGCGGGGGCTCGGAGCGCAGGTTACCAGCCGAGCCGTGAGGTCGGGGTACGACAGGCGAGGTGGCGGGAAATAGTCGAGGCGAAGTGTCGTGAGTGGTAATGGTGGCGAGTGTGGCAAGTACAATGATGTGCGCGCTAAGCAGGGATGCGGCGTAAGGAAATAGAAATTTCCTTACATTATACCCCTGTCAAACTATGATAATGCTTGTGCTGTGTAGGCTGTAGTGGGGTAGCCCATAAGGGGTACAACCCAAATTAGGGTTAGCATATGTACCCACATCTCTGTTCAATGCACTCATTTCTGCTGCTAGATTCTAACATGGTTTCAGAGCACTAGGTCCGTAGGATCGTTTTTTTTCGGGCCCACCTACCGTTGCGGCTACCACGCTACCCCACGTGCGCCTGCCTGCCTGCCTGCCTCGCCTTGTGACGTGCTGCGCTGCGCGCGCCGTCCTGCAGCCCTCGCGCTGCCTACTGCTGCCCTAGGCCAGCGCGCCGTCCCTGCAGGCCCGTACGACCCGCGCGCCGCCCCTGCAGACTCATCAGGCCCGTGCGCTGCCCCTGCAAGCCCGTCAGGCCCGCTAGCCGTCCCTGCAGGCCCGTCAGGCCCGCGAGCCGCCCCTGCAGGCCCGTCAGGCCAGAGCGCCGCCCCTGCAGGCCCGTCAGGCCTGCTAGCCGCCCCTGCAGGCCCGTCAGGCCCGCTAGCCGCCCCTGCAGGCCCGTCAGGCCCGCTAGCCGCCCCTGCAGGCCCGTCAGGCCCGCTAGCCGCCCCTGCAGGCCCGTCAGGCCAGCGAGCCGCCCCTGCAGGCCCGTCAGGCCAGGTCGCTGCCCTACGCGACGCGCCCGCTGCCCGCGCGTCGCGCTGCAGCCCCGCGGGTCGCGTCCGCTGCCCGCGCGTCGCGCTGCAGCCCTGCGCGTCGCGCCCGCTGCCTGCGCGTCGCGCTGCAGCCCCGCGCGTCGCGTTCGCTGCCCACGCGTCGCGCTGCAGCCCCGCGCGCCGCGTTTAGGGTTTAGCGCGTCGCGCTGCAGCCCCGCGCGCCGCGCCCGCAGCACGCGCAGCGCGCTGCAGCCTCGCGCGCCGCGGCTGCCCCTGTTCCTCGCGGCTGCCCCTGGACGCCGCCCCTGCCTGACTGTCACCGTCGCTCCTGCAGCAGCTGCCACGGAGCGCCCTACTACAGTCGCGGCCCTGCCCTGCAGCAGCTGCCGCGGAGCCTCCTGCCACCGTCGCAGCCCTGCCCTGCAGCAGCTGTCGAGGAGCCTTCTGCCGCAGTCGCGGCCCCACCCTGCAGCAGCTGCCGCAGAGCCTCCTGCCGCGGTCGCGGCCCCGCCCTGCAGCAGCTGCCGCGGAGCCTTCTGCCGCCGTTGCGGCCCCGCTTTGCAGCTGTCACGGCCCCGCCCAGCAGCAGCTGTAGCGGACCTGCCCTACCGCCGACGCGGCCCTACTCTGCGGCCGCTGTTGCGGCCCCGCCGAGCGCCGGCCCTGCCTGCCACTAGTGAGCACCTACCTTGTTCGTGCGCTGCCGCCTGCCTGCCTGCCTGCCTGCCTGCCTGCCTCCTGCCTGCCTGCCTGCCTGCCGGCCTGCCTGCCTGCCTGCCTGCCGCGCCTGCCCTGCACGCGTTGCTGCTGCTACTACTGCTATTGCTACTGCCACTGCTACTGCTGCTACTGACAGTGGCCAGATGCAGCTCCAGCTACGTCCGCGTGAGTCCCTCACGCCCTAGCAGCTTAGTGAGTGGTACGCTAGTTGGGGTTGTAGGGGTGGCCGCGATGCTACTGCTGCTACTGCTGCTACTGCTGTTACTGCTGCTACTGCTGCTACTACTACTACTGCTGCTACTGGCGGTGGCCAGATGCAGCTCCAGCGACGTCCGCGCAAGTCTCGCACGCCCCAGCAGCTTCGTGAGTGGTACGCTCAGAGTAGAGGGTATCTGTGTACCGTTCGCTGCCCGTACGCCATTCGCACTGGTGCTCGGACTGGTCAGGCTTACGGCACACTCAGTCACACACAGTCCCGCTGCTTCGCCCGTCTGAGCGACGCCTGGCGTACCGAGTTTGGCGACGAGGCTGAGCTCCCCGACTGGGTGGAGCTGCTTGGGCAGAGGGTAGATATATTTGCTCTTGACTATGATGCTATTCTCACTGCCATGTATGCATTGCCTACTAGTGCTGACCGTGCCTGTTACCTGTGCGTACCGCCTGACCCAGGTATAGAGCCTGCTGCTCTAGGTGCTGGTGAGGCTGCTGCTCTAGGGTCTAGTGTGTCTCCTGCTCTAGGTACTGGTGAGGCTGCTGCTCCAGGTGCTGGTGAGTCTGCTCTCTCTGGTACTGCGCCTGCTGAGGCCTTGTACACCTTCACACTTGACTCTGGTGCTTCTCGCTCCTTCTTTCGCGACAGCACCACCCTCACGCCGCTCAGTCGGCCGGTTCCAGTCTCCCTGGCAGACCCCTCTGGGGGTCCAGTCCGTGCGACCTCCTCCACTGTCCTCCCTTGTCCTGCTGTCCCGTCCGGCACACTGTCGGGTCTTTACCTCCCCTCGTTCTCTACGAACTTGGTGGCGGGTTCTGCGCTCCAGGACGCGGGTGTTCACCAGTTCACCCCTGCCTACGAGCGTGTGACACACTGCACGTGTGCTCAGACGGGTCGTCACCTGGCTACCTTCACTCGGCAGCCGGGGTCGGGCCTGTACACACTGACCACTGAGTCCCCTCAGGTAGCTGCGTCTGCGTCTGCGTCAGGTCAGTTGTCGGCCCCCTGCTCGTGTCGCGCCTTGTCGCACCAGACCCTCCTTTGGCACCACCGCCTTGGTCACCCCTCGGTGCAGCGCCTTCGCAGCATGCACCGCCGTGTCCTTGTCTCTGGTCTCCCCAGGGCTCTCCCTCCCCTCCCACCCTCGCCTGCTCCTCCTTGTCTTCCCTGTGTCGAGGGGCGGCAGCGCGCTGCTCCTCACTCCTCCTCGTTCCCTCCCACAGAGGCTCCCCTGCAGTCTCTCCACCTGGACGTGTGGGGCCCAGCCCGCGTCCGTGGACAGGGCCACGAGCGGTACTTCCTGCTGGTCGTCGACGACTACACGCGTTACACCACGGTTTTCCCCTTGCGCACCAAGGGTGAGGTACCTGATGTTTTGATCCCTTGGATCCGCGCTGCTTGTCTCCAGCTCCTCGAGCGGTTCGGGACGGAGTTTCCCGTCCTGCGTCTGCACTCTGACAGAGGTGGTGAGTTTTCCTCCGACCTCTTGGCAGCCTTCTGTGAGGAGCACGGCATCACCCAGTCGTTCACGCTTCCGGCCTCTCTGCAGCAGAATGGGGTTGCTGAGCGCCGCATTGGCTTGGTCATGGAGGTCGCTCGTACCTCCATGGTCCATGCGGCTGCCCCCCATTTTCTGTGGCCGTTTGCGGTCCGGTACGCCGCGCATCAGCTCAACCTCTGGCGCCGTGTCTCCTTGCCGGAGACCTCGCCCACACTGCTGTGGACGGGGAAGGTTGGCGATGCATCGCGTTTCTCGGTCAGGGGTGCTCGTGCCTTTGTCCGCGATACCACCGCGGACAAGCTCTCCGCCCGCGCTGTTCCCTGTGTCTTCCTTGGCTTTGTCCCTGACGCGCCTGGTTGGCAGTTTTACCACCCCACCTCGCGCCGTGTCTTCCCCTCTCAGGACGTCACGTTCGACGAGTCGGTTCCCTTTTACCGTCTCTTCCCCTACCGCACTGCCCCTCTCCCCCCCCCGTCGCTCTTCCTCGCTCCAGGTGCTCCCCAGGTAGACCCCCTCCCCACTCCTGGTCCTGCTCCTTCAGGTGTGTCTCAGGTAGACCCTCCTCTCTTGCCTGCGACGGTTGAGGTCACTGGTGACTCAGGTCCTGCTGAGGGTGGTCCTGCTCGGGGTGCTGCTACTGGGGGTGCTGAGCCTTGGGGTGCGGAGCCTGGGGGTGCTGAGCCTAGGGGTGCTGAGCCTGGGAGTGCGGAGCCTGGAGGTGCGGAGCTTGGGGGTGCGGAGACTTGAGGTGCTGAGTCTGGGCGTGAGGAGTCTGGGGGTGCTGAGCCTGCGGGTACTGAGCCTGGGGGTGCTGCACCTGGGAGCGCTGAGGCGTCTGGTGAGCAGTCTCCCTGGAGCAGCCGTCTCCGTAGTCGCTCCGCTGGTACCTCGCCGCTGCACTCTCGTCGTCGACTCCCTCTCTCCCCACAGCAGCTGCGTGAGTGGTACGTTGGCCGTCAGGGTCGCGCTGCTGGAGCTAGGGGCCCTGCTGTGAGAGGCGCTGGAGCCGGTGACTCTGCCACTGGAGTTGTTTCTGCTGGAGGTTCTGGAGCTGCTGAGGGTGCTGGAGCTGGAGGTTCTGGAGCTGCTGCGGGTGCTGGTGCTTGAGGTTCTAGAGCTGGAGGTTCTGGAGCTGCTGAGG